CTGCTTCATTCCATTGGAGTGTCATTTACTACATGTTTCTGAGTGAAATCACATTATGAATTTATTAAATTCTGGAAATCTGATATCTCTAGTCTTTGTTGAACTATTTTCCTTCCAAAGTTCTAGTTAAAGGGCACAACTAGGTGCCCATCTTTCAATCCTCCTCTACCTCCAAAAACACTTTACGAGTGGGGTTGTGTCTTTGCTAAACATTGAAAGGAACACGCGCGGGTGTTTGTCCCCGCTAAGCTTTTGAAAAGACTTTTTCTGCGGTACACTGAAAACATTATTGGCACTTTGAATGGCAACAAATCGTGCTCTAGAGAAACTATGAAATGTGGAGAATAGATCCAACTAAATATGGATTTAGCACTAAAATCCTCCGCAAATATGTATTATCAAATCAAATCCCTGTAAATTAATCCATAGCTCTGGCCATATCACCTTTATACTAAGCTCTCAAAATTCAGTTTTTATTCTGAACACTATCAAAAATCCTTTTATAGAAGGAGAATCGGAAGAACACGATTATGAAACACAGGTCCCCGAGATGACCAAATTTGAGACGGAGTCTTGGTAAAGACGCGAATATAAATACATATCTCATAACTCATATAATCTTTGCTTCCAAAATCGAATTCAGTAGGTACTGGTCAAGATATATGGAACTCAGATTCTATATAAGAAATATATTAAAACACAGCTCTGTACTTTGATAAAAGAATCCCAAATCCCCAATCCTAAATAAAACAGTCCTTCAACTAATTTAAACCTTCTCCACAATATACCCCACTTTCTCTAGCAAACACCGTATAATCCTTACGTGCACTTGACCAGATCCTCCAGGTCCTCCGCTGACAAAGCGTACTCGGGATCCAAGCTCGGGCCATGGCGTTTTTTGGTTCTACTGCGATGCTTGCGACGGAGTCCGCTCGAAGGCTTCGAACCGGATCTCAGAGGAAGGTTATCGCTCGACTGGACACTGGTTCTGGGTACAGGTGTATCCGCAATGATGGCCATGCCGCTGGTGGAGCGATCGTCGGGGTACTTGGCCGCTGTGGCGGCGGCGCTGGCGGCCGCCACCTCCTCGGCCTTGGCCTTCTCCGCGAAGCTGTCGCGTCGCCAGGAGGGCGTGAGAGTGCGCAGGATATTCTGGGTGTCCGCATAGCCCTCGTAGTTGTAGCGCTTCCGGAGGCTCAGCCCGGACAGATACTCGAGCGTCTGCCACACGTTCATCTTGTTCGCACTGTAGCAGGGCTCGTCGTCGACTGACCAGCAAGCGTTGCGTGCTATGCGCTGGGCCAGGAGCATCGTTACGGTGGCACAGCGCTTGCCTGGCGGCGGTGGGGCCCATTCCAGCGACTCTGAGCGAGCAACAGTCGCCCCCCCGATTCCTCCGGCCTGAGCGCCTGTGAGTGACATATGCGGAACAGTTTGTTTAGCAACGTCCCAGAGTCCCAACGCCCCAACGTCCCACGACGTCCAGGTGTACGGTTCACGTCAGTTGTCTTGGGTAGCACAAATTGAAATGTAATTAAGTTTCCTTCGGCGTTGTGCATTTAAAACTTCGTCCTCATCCTGCTTCTATTTTGATGGGACTACTATACGACTATACTGTGGCGTGCGAAGCCTCCGACGACCGAACTTCATGTGAGACCCCAGCCGATCGGCGCTGGGTGGCGTTATCCGTGTATCTGCTGTATCCGTGCCCGTGCCCGTGTCCGTGTCCGTTGCGTGGCAGCCACGCGTTCGTACTCGGGTGTTTATTGTATCCATTTTGCGCCATTAAAAATAATATCATTCTGATTGAGTGACGCGCCGCTTAAGTACTTTCTTCGCTGTCCCCGTACTGACACCGTTTTCCGCTTCATTCGCTTCACTTTGATTTCCCTTTTTATTGAACACGCAAAGAGTGGGCTCGGGGCCGGGGGGCACCGAAAGAATAGAGGACATTACCCCGTTCTCGGTTCCATTATATTCCGATCCATTGTGGGATACGCAGCTTAGACGAAAGTTTGCCCTTGCCCCCTTCTTCGGGCCATAAACTTTAGATTGATGGGTGTTTTTATGGACAAGGGAAGACGCTTTATCTATTGATATGGCAAAGAGTTATGGCCAAGAAATGGTAGTAAGTAGAGGGCTAAGAAGTTGTACTGTTGAAGGTCAAAAGGTTGACTGATCGATTATAAATTCAGTCTTTTGAGTATGGGTTCTGACTGATCAACAGAAACATGTTTATGGATAAAAAATCTGCCTTTTATAGGGGGTTCTATGGAGGTACTTAGAAGCTATTTTATCTGTTGACTTTTTTAGGGGTTATCTTTAGGATATGGCAGAGAATTTCTCAGCGGAAGAAACTATCTTTTCTTCATAGAGAAAACTTTCGGGTTGTCGTCGATCCGATGGGCGAGCTAAGCAAGTGAGTCAGGGGTTGACGCACGAGGGCAGGTGGCAGGGATTCAAAACGAATGAAGAAGGACGGAACGGAAGTGCTAAAAGGCTGCTTCCACGCCAATCCGAATGAGTATATCTTTTCTAGAGAATGTGTGGAACACATCGACCTACGAATGAGGCCTCAAAAAGTTCGTGTTTCAAGCTTAGAAATACTTTGGAAGATAAAAATAACGAAAGGCTATTCAAAGTTTATTCCATTAAGAACAGGAAAAAGTCAAGAAGGGAACACCCACTGTAACTAATAGTTTCTTATTCCATTCACACTTTCCTTAACCTTGAAGGCGGATTCCATGAACATTGACACCACAGAGAACACAGCCCCCCCCGCACATAGACAAGCCACGAAACCCGAGTGAACCGACGACCCAGTGAGCAAAAACCAAAGCCAATTTCCCTTTTCCATCACTTGTTCCCCAATTACTTGGAAAAGTTTTGCCGACAGCCGATGGCTGCACTTGCTCCTCCGAACCCCCCCAGACTGGTGTTCATTTGCATTGGAGGAGGCACTGAGGCATCTATCAAATGCTTCGTTAGCATCGCGTGACTAAACTTAGTCCGGAAATTAGCGACCTCCACTCGAGGAACGGGGCTGCCAGAGGAATGGTGCTCCAAAAGGAGCGAATTTTGGCAAGTTTTAAGTTTTAGGAAGCGCATTGAGGAAACGTGAGAGAACCAGAGATAGTCTTATCAGACAATGTGATGCAATCGTGTGTAAGTATTTCCCGCGAGAGAGTGGGGGCCACGATAATTGCCATGGAAATATTTCTGGGTGTGGCTCTTGCGCCTGACACTCTGATGGATGCAATAAAATATTATGAGCATGGCTGTGGCAAAGAATCTTAATTGAATGGCAGTGGCAGCGGCAGCGGTGGTTCCTTCACCGGCGCCAATCGATGTCAGAGCGAAACGACCACTCGACGGCAATGGGAGCTGGCACACGTGTCGTGTGTTTGAGGCTGAGAGCGATTCAATGGTCTGTACTCACGCAACAATGACATCGGGATCCTCCCACCACTTCTTGTGCGAGGGCTGCAGCAGCAGACTAACCTGACGCCAGTGGTTCTTGTGCACCACCTAGGTATATGGCCATATCATTTTATTATTCCCACTTTTTGCCAGGGCTCCAACTTACTTTGTACTTTTTGGGATCGTAGGCACTGTGATCTTTGTCGGAGAACACCAGACGAGCCATTCTGCCGCGCTTCCGGGTATTCTTTCTACCTTTTTTGGTTTATGTTGTTTTCTGTTTTGGGGGAAATATTTTATATGTTATATTGCAGGACTGATGATTTTGTGTGTTTGCCAACTTGTCGCACTGACAGTTGACTGAAAGGGGACCATGAAATGGAATTATTTCCGATATTTTATTCAACCACAAAATGTACTACATATATGAATCGATGGATTCAGTTTTCAGCTTTCGGAATACGAAAGAAATATGTATTATTTATGAATCGATTATTGGTTCGTTCAGAGGCTAGCTCTCCATCTAAAGATTTCTTCCACAGAGCTATAAGTTCTAGATAGTCCTGGGATCTGGTAAAGCATATAATAGTAACAGAATAGTAGTCTTATTCTCTATGGAGTTTTGAAGGTCTTACTAGTGATAACAAATATTTTTTTTTCATCAAAAATTTTGCATAAAGACCTTATTTCAATTCAAATATAATATGTAGAAGACGTACAAGGAGAATGTCTGTCAATAAAACTATCTTTTGGATCAGTTTTCAAAGATTTCTTGTACCTAGATCTCAGATATAAGCATTTCTCGGACTCTAAGGCTCTGTTAAGAGAGACCCTCTTCGAACACCTTTCTTAGATCGAAGGAAAACCCACCACTCCATGGTTTTGTTGCATCCCAATTCTTTTTGAGTCTCATTTTAGGCACCACTCTATCCCACAGCCGCGAGCATAGCCCCCGCATTGGCTGCATTAGCGATATGCAAATCGGTATATGTATCTATATAGTATTTATACATATATCTGCATCGATCGAGACCAAAATGGTTCGGTCCAACGCCTGGCGGCGGCTGGGGCATTAATTTCAGGGCAGACTTATTGAACTGGATATAATTATATTCAGCTGATGAAATTTTAATGGACAGCCGAGTGTTCGACTGTGTACTGTATTGTACTGTACTGTGCGAGTGAGTGAGTGAGTGGTTCGCCCATCCATTGTTGTTAGGGGAGATATTACAGACATGTGGGGTGGAGGCTGGGGCTGGGGGTTTGGGGGGCTGTTGTTTGCGCCGTTTTCAATTGATTGGCCGAATCAAATGTGTCTTGTCCGGTTGGTATCTTGTCAACCGGCGTGGCTAATTGTCGCCGCACTTGAACGGTGTCTATGGCCCATGGGCTCGGAGATCTCTTTGCCCTGGCCATGAGCAGAATCGAGTTTGTTTGTTCTCCAGGGGCCACTGGCCAGTTTCCGCATTAGTGCAGCAAACATACCGAGAACTGGCCTTATATGCTAAATGGTATTATGGATCTCTCGCTCTCGGTCGTTAGAGCTATAAAAACGCCGTGACCACCGGCAGATGTCAGTTAGTAACGTTTCAATCGTCGCTTAGATCACCAGAAGCCAACATGAAGGTAGGATACTCGCACTTCTCCCTACAACCAGCCAGGAATTAACTCTCTCTCTCTCTCTCTCGCTTCCAGTTCGCCGTTGTCGTAGTCTTGTTCGCCCTGGCCTATGGAGTCAACAGCTCTGTGGTGCCGCTGCTGACCAGCATCCATGGCGGCCATGTGCTGGTGGGTGCCGGACCCGCCGTTGCCGGTTCTGTGGCCATCCAGGCCTCTGCTGTGCCCGCTGCCGTGCCCCTGGTCCTGTCCCCAGCTGGACCCGTGCTCATCCAGTCGGCCCCAGCCCATGCCACCATTGTGGCTGCCCATCCGCCCGCTGTGGTCGCAGTGGCTGCTCCCCCTGCCAGCTATGTGGCCAAGACCCGTGGCGCCGTCCACGTGGCACCCCTGCCCGGACACTCGCAGTCGGCGGCCTCCGTCAACCTGGAGCCCGCACCAGGCACCTGGTAATCATCCACTGAAACGGAACCCCCTGGATAAACGATCCCCCTTTGACCTTGCCAGCGATTGTCTCTGTCGCGCCGTCTCTCTGTCTCTATCTTCAAGTCATGTTTGGTTTTAGTTTCCCAAAGGTTTTTCCACTTGCCATCTGCCGCGGACCTCACGCACTCCTCACAAAACTTTCTTCAGCAAATCTAAGTCAATCTCTGAGTCCTTCCTATCGATTTCTGCTTTATTTTCTCTTATGTTATCATCTGAAAAAATTGTTTCTTTGAATAAAAAACTGTTATCAAAACAAATACGGGAAAGGTGCTTTTTCGAAGGGGATTTCTTAGGGATCAGCTTTCGATCCCAGTTCTATCCATATTCCCTACTCCCACGCCTTCAAAGTCTTGAAGTCTCTGCAAATAGCTCTCAAAACGAATCTCGATCGATTGACGATTACCGATTACCGATGCCGGCAATTAATCAATTCCGGGGCCGCCTCGATCCAGCATCGATCAGCAAGCTACTTTGAACCAGACCCAAAGCAGGGGCGTTGACAAAGCCGCTCTCTGGAAAAGCAGCCAAAGACAAGCCCAGGCAGCTGGACTACATTGTTGCCAACTGGTTGGAGACCCCAGAGACCAGAGACCAGAGACCAACAAAACTGAAATCGAGAGTACCGAGAGTACGGGTACGAGTACCCGATAAACTGGAGCAGGGGGCGGTTTGCCTTGATCGCCGCACACTCGCACTTGCAATTATTAATAGAAAATGTGGCGCGTAATAGACGGTAACAAAAGCCACAGCTTTATATGGCCAAGACGGCGACAGAGCACGGAGGACAGAGCACAGACCCCGGTTAAGTAATGTGTCTATGCAAATGCAGTTGCAGTTCAGATCCGCCTCAACGCCCACTGGGGGCTCTTAAGAGCCCCGCTTTAGTGCTTTTCGTTCCCGTTTCCGCAGCCCAAGACTTCGAATTGACCAAAATAATGATAAGCCAAAAAGTGCTCTGAGCTTTCAATAAAAGTGTCAATCGTGGGGGTAAAAACAAGCGAGGAATTTGACACTTTAGAGGGTCGACACTTTTGATACCCTTGCAGAACTTTTGGCACCAAAATCTCAGCTCTAGTACCCCCTGGTTGGAGGGTACAACAGACGCCATCAGAAGGGGAGACAAACAGCAAACAGCAGCATTTTTGCCGCTGTTGTTCGGTGTCGTGTCGGCAGCCAAGCCCCATAGCAATTGGCCATAAATCTGGTCCCCAGCCCCAGCCACCATTCACTTTTGTTTCTTACTCGATCAGCGGCCCCTGGCCCCACCCTGCTGCTGTTAGCTGCGTGCGTGTAAATGCAAGACGCAAGACGCATGACGCAGCCACTGCAACTGCCTCCTCCTCCTCCTCCTCCTCCATCTCTGGTGGCAAGTTCAAGTTTACGCACTGCTCTGTCTGCGGTCTGTGGTCTGTGGGCTTCCTGCTCGACAGGTTCAACGGACGGCAACGCACTTGAGCAAAACGCATTCGTAGTCGCATTTTCTTGGTTTCTGGTTTTTTGGCACGCAGCACGCATGGAATCGAGTTCAAGTTGGCCCACTAAAACCCCTTTTTGTGGGGTATTATCTCATACCGCTTTTTGCTGCGTTGCGTGTGTGGGCGATGAGTCATTGAATAAGGTCAGTAGACCAATAAAGGATCGGATCGGGTCTTTAAGCGAAGTGATTCATTCGAAACAGAACCGAGACCACGAGACCACGAGAACATATGGCTGCCAGACCTGCCAGTGGGAGTCGGTAAGCCATTTGCTGGACTCGCAAGACATGACCGAATGCCAGCAAAAAGTATTTCGTAATAGCCCTGGTGTACAGTCTGGTGTACAGCTTTCTTATCCGCACCCACAACTGGTTGGCTGGTTGGCTGGTGGCCTAAATATAGTAACAACCTGTAACCAAATATACGCCACAGAAACAGAGAGACAACCACTCGTATCTCGTGTTGCATGAACCGCCTGGAACTGGAAGCAGCCACTTGCTAACGTCATAAACACACTACACAACGTGGCCCATAGAACTTGTTCAATTGGCCATTCTGCGGGCACTAGAGCTCTCTGTTAGTTGTGACAGTTGTGACTACGATTTAGTGACAGCCGCGACCGCGTAAGTGGGTAATTATTGGCTTCGCCTAATGACCATTAACCGATGCCTTAGCATACTAATTGTATCTGGATTAATTGCCCCCAGATCTTGATCGTAAACCAACGGTTTTCAATCGATTACGTCTACGATTGGCCATTGCATCATCAGCACAGAGCACAGTCCCAAAAAATAGTAACAATTGCACTTCGGAGGCCACATCGACCGAACGGCCGACCACTCGAAAATTCCTCGCAACGGAGTCGAGTGTGATTGCCTGTGTGTACGTTAATTAAATTAACTTAAATCGTCTAGAAATTAAAACGGATACAAGTTGCTGGAATAGTCGACGGGGAATTGCTCTTGGCTCCTAGATAGCCTTCCAACACTTTAATTGATCAGTGCTGCAAAGAGAACCGACTTTCTGCTTCCCCCTTTAGTGTTGCTTCAGTAGGGTACTGTACTTCCAGCCTTGATTTCCACATAGGCATCTGAAGCTAAGATTTACATCCGTTCCACATTCAAAACTCCCTTTTAGGGCTTTCAGATTGCACATTTGAACATTCAACATTTCAAAACCCTATTATATTCAAAGCTTTTCTGAACCAGTGCTGGAAAGCGTGCCTTCCTTTAGCTGTACATAAGTTCTTTATCACATATTCAGTGCCTTAAAGCGCATCTTTAGCCTTTGAAGTCTTGTTTTGTACTCAGTTTTCCCATTCTCAAACCAGTGTTGCCTGGATTTCTATGCCGCTGCCAGTGTTGAATAACAAAGGGCTAGGAGTACACTAGTACCCTTCAGTCTTCACTGTTGAGTAGAGTATGAAAACCAAATTAAATAATGGGTAACACGCCAAAGGTGTTGGCGGAGTGGGTGGAAATGCTGCTGCAACCAAATTCGTTGGACTGCCACCGTGCCACACCGCCCCACTGGCCCGGTCAGCGCTTGTTTGCAGTTGTAGCAACAATTGGCAGCAGCAACAGTCGGCCGGCGGCCAAATTGAATTCAAGCGTGGCTAACATTGATTTCCTAGCCCCGTCGCGGGCCCCACCGCCATTCACCATAATTAGTTTTATTCTGTTTATGCGATTTTAATATGGAATTCGCATTAATCTCGCCGGAAAAGTGGGCGGCAACCGGGTCTGGACTGTGATAAGGACCTGGCTCTGTGCACCACGGACTGTGGCGGCTGATGCATGATGCAATCGACCAGTGAGATTGCAACAAAAGGCTGGAGAACGCGGGGCTTTGCTATTAAAATGCCATTAAAATTGGGCCAAACGGTGGAAATACTCGTACGAAATATGTTTATGTTTTGGGGCAGCACCGTGGTGCCGCCCGGTCCATTGTTTGGCGTCGGTTGTGCAACCGTGTCAATCTGATTTATGCCACTTGACCGAACGAGTGCCATGTCGCGTTGGTTAACGCTTTGCCGCTTGGACGCCTGCGCCACACGACACGTACACCCCAGTCGAGGAAGGGGCAAGATCAATGCCACCTCGGCGGCGATTTGCATTGAGCGAGCATACTCGTACACCCGTGTACCCATGGTTCTACGGAATTCTGGGAGGGGCCTGCTGCTGCTTTATTGAATGCACCTGGTCGCAAAACATGTGTCTTGTGTACTGTGTAGGGGGGTATCATGTCTGTGTAACGTAGCAAGAATTGAGGAAACATTTCGGAGTGCTTAGACCTTGTAGCCCACAAAGTGGCGACGTCCGATCACCTCGCCCATGTAGAACCAGGTGATTACCTCGACGGTGACCAGGATGTTCAGCCAGGCCTCGCGCACTGTGACCTGGCCGAGACGGCCGCCCAAGCCCTTCACATCCGTCTTGAGTTTCTTCGTGGACTTGGCCGCGGTCTGCAGCTTCTGGAAGTCGCCGGGCAACGGCGGCGACAGCTCCACTTTGGCATATTTCCAGAATTCCTTCAGCTGCGGACGTGCCAAAGCAGCAAGATCTGCGAATACATACCCAATACAGAATACAGAATATATTATTATGATGAATGGAAAACTTACTATTGGCGAGTGCAGTGGCCTTGGCAACGTATTGACTCATCTTGGAGCGAATTTTATTCAGTTTCTGTGTTTCTTTCCAGCAAAGACGACACAATAGTGCTGCCAGACAGTTGAAAGCTAAACGATAGACTGCTTTGATGGCAGGCGATAGGCCACACACGAATCCCAGGGGGACGAATGCCCAGGCAAATGTGTTTTTGGTTAAATTTGCATAATTGCCCAGTTGTCGAATGAAATCTGCGCCAATTATGCGATTTTGCGGCGATAAACTGACCGATCATTACGGCACCGACAAGATAGTTATTAGTAGAGCGCGCGGCTCAAGATCCCCGCCCACTGGCCAGTGGAAGACAATAGCCATGGGAGAGAATATGAAAAAAGCAAAGAGCCAAAAGCACGCCCTAACAAATTGGCCCAGACATCGATGGCCTGCATTGTCTTCGGGACTACGGAGCTGAGGAGTATTTCATCATCGGGTTGGCTGTTGTTGGGTGGGTTTCCATAATGTTAATGGATCACAAATGGCCACTAAGCCAGTGAAGGGCTCTCATTCTGCCAAGGAAATTGGTCCAGTACGAGTGCTAGTATATCGTATTACTAATTGAGAATGACATTCCAAACACAGACCCGTTGTGCTGTTGCCGTTGCCCTATGCATAATCATTAATAAGATGTGATTAATGCTTCATAAATTTGTTTCTTGCGCCCGTCACTTGTGCCATGCAGCTGTCTTCTAAATGGTTTGGTTCCACTCTCACATTCGGGCCGTTCTGACACTTTGACCCTCGTCCGAAAACGTGGCCAAAGTTGATTTGCATTCCTATGACAATTTCAAGTTGAGGCGCTGCCATTTCATGGGGGGATTGCTATGGTTTGGATTCGGTTAAGAGCTAAGAGCCCCCACCAAACATGGAAATGTAGTCCAACAATTCGTTTCGCTATTTTGCATTTTTATTGTTTGCCAATGCTGACAGCGTTTGATTATATTTATTCTTGGGCGTTGGCCCCGCAATGCCTTCCTATTTCTGGGGGAGCAGCGCAGTGCAGTGCAGGCCCCACCGCAAACCGAAAATCGAATACCGAAAACCGAAAACCGGGCATGAGCTGCAAAAGCTAATTGTTTATTTAGAACACTGCGCAAAAGTTCCATGGGTTTTGGTTGGGGGAGATTACGCGATTTGATGCTGGCATTGTTGGGCACTGGGGCTGTCATAGTTTTGCTTCCCCTGAAGACTCTTTATAGGCCTAGAGATTGATTGCTAATTTCGGGGGATTTGTTTTGCTTAAGTCTTTAAAGAAAGGTAAGAATTGTAGCTATCGATTTGGCGACTTATCGCTGGGCAGTCCTGCAGGTGCGATAGGTGCGCATCTATCGATTGTTGAAGTCCTTTTTCATTGCTGAGGTTTTTTTCTGAGCTGATAGATGTATGATGATGTTACACTGTGCAACAAAATGCAACTTTTGATAAGTATTTTGCACCAGACAAAAATAAGACTTGCCGTATGCTCCCAAAATATTTAAAGAAAATTCAAAAACTGCATATTTATATAATTTTCATTAGGTATTTGCAGCACCGATATCTTCAACAATTGATGATCATATTGATGATTGAATTGATGATTAAATTGACGATTATACGACCTTTTGCAGGGCGTTTGATTCCTGTTGATAGAGTGGATTACACCTGAAGATCCAGCGATCCAAAGTAAAAGTTTTAAACCATTTTTAATCATTTAATTATCGTACCAAAAGGCTCTCAAGAAAAATTTCGAAGAGATTAAAAATGTTTAATAATTGCCACGTTTTTTTTTAAATGTTGTTTTTTATGGTATGTTCCTACATATTATTAGGATCTAATTCTTTAGTGCCATTAACTCTTTCGAAAGAATATTAAAGGTACGTGCTATTGCGTAAATCCAACCCATTTCATAATACCTCAAACATTCATGTATATTTTTCTGTAAATTGTTATTGTTTAATCAATCTATAGAAAAGGCATACCATCGCTATTGCCCATCACTTAAGATATTTCACAGTTGACTGCCGCTGCGGCTGCTCGATGGTTATGGTTATGGTTATTGTTATTTTATTTAAACATTAATTAAGTCATTGTAAAAGGCAAAGGCAAAGTTCTTAGCCTGCCTTGGGCAATGGCCAATATTCAATTGTTTTTGCAGTGTAGGCACGCGACTCTAGTGGAAATTCCATGCCCCAACTAGCGGCAGCACTCACATTTGAGTTGCAGGCAACACGGACGGACAGATAGACAGACAGACAGACAGAAACAGAAACAAAAACAACAAAATAAATATATAATTGCAACAAAGAATTCTGAGCCGCGTTGCGACTTTGGGGCCTGCTGCTGCCATTGCAAATTGAATGCTTTGGGCCACATGCTTATGACTTTTTAAATGTGTTTGTGCTTTATCAGTATAATTTGGTGTTTGTGGCAATTTTCATGTTGCTGATTGGGCTCCCCGATTGGCTGGAGCCCGCGTACTAGCTGTGTGTGTGTGTGTGTGTGTGTGTGTGTGTGTGTATGTGGATCTGTGCTCGTATTACCCTCGGCTCTAAATTCTTGTTTATAGTAATTTGCGCAACCATTGACAGCACCGTAGCGCCCCATGCCCCACGCCCCCTATGCCCCGCCATGAACCTGGAGAGAGGAGGGAGCATTGGTGCTATCGCCACCCAAGGCAGATCTCAGACGGACGATTGACGCAGCTGGGCAGTGAAAGGTCCCGGCGTCAGAGCACCCGGAGCACCACAGATCCAAAGTGTACTCCAGTTCTCGTCGTCGTCGTCGTCGTGGTCGTCGGCACGAGCCCCAGTCTTGGGCGTCGGCGTCAGAGGCTCTCGTTTTTTGTTTTGTTTTCGTTTTTTTGATATACATTTTCTTGGCTGTGACTGTGACTGCGCGGCGGCGGCAGCTCCGGCACAGGTTTCCATTCGGAAAAGCCAGGCAGGTCTTTTGGTATAAAAGTTGCCACAATTTGGTAGTCGAAATCAGAATCAACTCGTTCGCTGAGTATTCAACACAAGTTTTCCTTCTTCTCCTCCAACAACCACTTCTTCAACACCCCCCCCAAAAGCAACATGAAGGTAAGCCACCCACCAGGCAGGAGCCCCGCCTAGGATCCACCTTCTGACTCTCCGACTCCTGATTCTCCCTCCTCCTGCAGTTCGCCGCCGCCGTAGTCATGCTTGTGTGCGCCCTGATCGGAGCCGAGGCCTCGTGGAACGCACTCCAGATCGCCCCTGGCGTCTCCTACGTGAACTCTGTGGCCCATGGAGCCGGTGCGTGGGGCGGCCCATGGAACGGTGCCTGGAACGGCGGCTGGAACGGTGCCTGGAACGGTGGCTGGAACGGCGCCTGGGGTGCACCCGCCGCCGTGGCTGTCCATGCTGGTGCCGGTGCTCCCTGGGGTCTGACCGGTCCCGGCTGGCATGGCGCCTCTGTGCCCGGCATTGCCCTGGCCCAGGGACCCGGTCTTGCCGCTGGACACGGACATGAGGGTGTCTACGTGGCCAAGACCCGTGGTGCCATCCACACCGCCCCCCTGGCCGGACACATCAACTCGGCCACCTCCGTGAACGTGGCCCCCGCCCCGGGAACCCTGTAAGTCAATCGCCATCCACCGCCGACCACCACCACGACCGACCTATGATGTCTCACCAACCGATGCCAAACGGATGTGGCGGACGGGGCGGATGGGCCAGGAGCCAGGAGCCACCTTCGATCTCCTCCATCTGCTTCAGCGACCGACCTTCCACGACTCTAACCGGATACTTCCCCCCAACTCTCTCTACACACCTATTGTTAAGCACACACCGCTCTTAGTCCCCCCCCTTCGCCCCCGATACGAACACGATCCTGATCTTGAGGCGATCCCTCAGCAATTTAAGTCCAACAACAATTACAACAACTACAAGAAACCAACAAACGACAGCATGTTAATTTTATTATTTGAGAACTATATCTTTCAAATGCCTTCCCATCTTCCACTCTCCACTCTCCTCCACCATCACCACTTTTCTCTGTACTTTCTATATGCTTTCCTATATCTATCACTATCTGTCTCTCTCTATACATATCTGGCGTGTCTTTACGAAGAGATATGCTTTGACCAAACTGTAAATATCCATTCCCTGTACTCTAGTAATCTGCAACAATGTAAAGATTGACGAAAGCGTTATAAATAAACTCAAACAGCGTTTTTTATACGAAAATTTCTATGGAAGATCATATGGGGGCTTTGGGGGTGGCAGTTATTAAGAATCCTTGAGTTTTTACCCAGGTTTCCATGGAGATGTCAACCCTGTGGCCCGTGGAGCCGGCCCGTGGGTCTAGAGTTTCTCTACTTCTCTGCTCTACTTCTAGAGTTTCTTCCTTAAAGATTCAGGGACTGTCTCTAGTTTCTCCTGGGTCTCTCATTCATTGAAACCTTCTAGTAACTTCCCTTACGACCTTGAAGCACCTGTACTTCTGTGCACCCCCGATTATATCTAAACACTAATATAATCTAATTATTGGCTTGACTGGGGGTGTGGCTCTGTTTCATTGGGGTTTAGTTTTTGCACCTGCTGGACCTTGAATGGATCGCTGAAGAATGTCTAGATCAAATGTGTCTTTGTCTTTTAAGTGTACTATTATTACGGCAATCCCAATTTGTTTGAGCACACACAGAACAGCAGCCGCTGAACGGTAGTCAAGTTGGAGGCCAATGGTCATTAGATCGAGTTAATTGTCCAGCTACGATACATCTACATCTGCAGTGTATTGGGAGCACAGGGCGTATGCTTAATTATGCAAACGCTTAAACGATAATTACAGAACCAAGACTTAGTTTCAGTCAGCACCTGGTCTTCGAGTGCAGCTAAATAATTGACTTATGAGGCAAATTATAGCAGTGGCTAATTACAGACTATCATCGAGAGATCTCAACTTGAACTCTTTCGGATCTCTGCCCCCACATCCATGGAAATGGAAACCAGTTCTAAAGCTTTCCAAACACCTCCGCCACTGCCGAATCGAAGGCTTTTTTCGGCATGATTGAATTGTCTAATGGGGCCTGGGCCATGTGGGAAGCCTGCAGACACCCACCCACACTGTTCCTGCCACGCCACTCCATTAAAACCCAGGGAATGTTGTGGCTACATCTATTAGGTAATCCGAAAGGGACTTCTTTGGGTAATTCCATTCCCCTTTCTCATGGTTTGCCCAGGCAAATCCCACGCCCAACCAACGACAGATCTCGGTTATGGCCCTTAAGACACATAAATCAGTTATTAGCTGGCCGCATTCAGGATATGGATCAGACCATAATTAGATTTGCTTATAAATCATACTGAAATGCTAATCGAACACAAACAACAATTAAGTAATTAAACCGACGCGTCGGTGTGATGGAGTGAAAAGCAACTTACCGGAACTGCAGCTTAAAAGTGGGTTGGGCGCACTCAAAGCCACTCAGAGAGATAGAAACACTCACTCGGAATGCACTTCTGGGGCGGTGCAAGTCGTCAGAGGTGTGCAGATCCGTGTCCGTTCCGATGGGAGCTGTTTCCAGGCTAAAGAAACTCAGAGGGAACCACGAGTTGGTTCAAGATTCGAGTTCTTGCAGGAATTATATCAGAACCAGTCGGAACGTTTCCTGCAAAAGCACACGTCCCTCGATATCAAGATACAACTTTGTATCTCTAGGAAAAAAGACACTTATACCAGATCAGATGGCAGGAAGGATAGGGCTATATTTGGGAGAGTGCTGGCCGTGGAGAGAGTAGCTTTAAATCAGGTTCCCAGAACCATATTTCACTGCAATCTAAACAGGAACGAAACTATTTCTATAACTATCCGTAGAACTAGTTCTCGGAAACGATCAGCTCTGAGATAGTGAGGCAGAGCGCAGCGGGCGGGTGCAGGGCGAGCAAACAATGTCTCAGTCAAGGCGGTGATCTGTGAGATCGCTCAGACGATAGATCGATAGATCGGTGTAAGTCATGTCATTTGCTCTGGCAGCATATGCAAGCGGACCACTGTCCCGTGTCTGAACAATGTGTGAACTCTCACTTTCATGAACCTTTGTCGTTGTCGCCGGTGCGCGCGCTGGTGGTCAGCCATGTGGGGCCTGCAGTGGGTATAAAACTGGCCGGCAGAACCGTCCAGAGATCAGTTCAGAACAAGAGTTCAACAAGAGCGCTACCAAACCCAAACCCAAACCAACAGCAAAATGAAAGTGAGTTTGGGTCGGGACTGCCACACGGCGAATCCTTTGCTAATCCGGCTATCCTTTTCCAGTTCGCCATCGCCGTTGTCTTCACTGTGGCCCTTGCCATGGGCGTCCAGTCGTCGGTGATTCCCCTGCTCTCGCAGGTGGCCGGACACGGACTCTCCTACACGGCCGTGTCGGGACCCGCTGTGATCGCCTCTCCCTGGGCCCATGCCGCCGCCCCCTGGGGTCATCCCGCCGCCGCCTGGCCCGCAGCCGTGACCGTTGGCGCCTGGCCCCCAGCAGCCCCCGCTGTCGTTGCCGCCCACTCCCCCGCTGTTGTGGTCGGCCCCGTGGCCCATGAGGGTGTCTACACAGCCCAGACCCGTGGTGCCATCCACACCGCTCCCCTGGCCGGACACATCCAGTCGGTGGCCTCCATCAACGCTGCCCCCGCTCCCGGAACCCTGTAAGTGAGAGGATCTCCTGATGGACTACAATCCACCACCACCGATCGGACCGCCCCGCCATGCCAAGGAACTGCCATTGATGGATCCTCCCTCCCCGGGGGGCTCCTCAACTCAACCCCAATACTGTTGTACATAAATGTATATAGATCTATATAGACAGGGTACTCGCACCTAGCACTTGAACTTCAACCACCCCTACCATAACTAGCCATCAAAATTCCCTTTCGACCCAAGCACCGGCCAACACTGGCTGTGTCCCTTGCGCTCTTTATTTATTTCGAATACATGTTCCAAGCATTCCTGTGAAAACTAGGCAGAAGGACTTTCCTTTGAAGGAATGCCACGACCATTCCCTGGGGAAATGTTTGAAATTTTGCAAATAAAGAAAATGTAACCAACTCGAAATGTGATTTATTTGGGAAGAGGCCTTAGAGATTGGAGTACAGTTTGAAAAGGATCTGTGATTGGTTGATTGAAGATTCAACAAAGTATTCTAAAGATCCCACTACTATATTTAATAATTAAGACCCCTCTGAAGCGATTTGTTTTGAAATTTCGCTAACAAAATCCGAATTCCAAGTAAAAATCATAAATCTCCGTCTCTAGCATTGGTTTTGTCACGTAACAAGCCATAAAAGCGACAAATATTGGACTTTAGATTTGTCTCAAGCTCGTAATGGATCAATTAAGCGCATAATAGACGCCTCTTAAACGGGTTTAAATTACACAGCTAGTCCATGATCGACTGGAAAATACCTTGCATCTCAGGCATTCTCCGGCGTGGAGTCAATTAGTAAACACAGTCCGTTGGCCGATGACTACAATGATTTTCACAGTGTTACGCCTCCGTATGCATTTGATTGATTCATTGACTCAAATGGGAACATGAGCCTCCACTGAGTATCCATCCCCCTTGCTCCTCCACTCCTCTAACTATCCCCAATGCTACAGTTCTCTGAACAGAGCGACGCAATTGAACGAAAAGGCTGAAATGTCAAGTTCATGCGCATGCGCAGCGTTCAACGTTCAATGGCGCAATGCATCCACAAATCAAATCAGAGCATTCGCACCCCTGCCCCGGCCCCACCGCTGACCACAACAGAATCCAACTGTTGCTCTGGCAACCCAATGCGTGACTGCCCGACCCCCCCTCTGCGATTCCCTCGCTTGGTTTTCTATTCCCACTCTGCGTTTCACGCGCTTGTTTTTGGTACCCTTTAAAGAGGGTATACCGATTGTCCACAGAGGATTGTAACACAGAGAAAAAGTGTACGAAAAGACAAACAATACATTCGAGATTATCAATAGATTTATGTGGGTTGGTGTACAGTACGCTGATCCCTAGACACAACGAGAGTTAGGGAAGATACGATCCCTAAGGGAACGACGAGCAACGAGGATCCCATTGCTAGGAAGACGACGAGGAACGAAGAGAGAGAACGAAAGAGTGTGTTCACAGAAAGAAGACATTTATTCGAAATTTATGAAACATGAACTAAAAATTAACTATGAAACCTAAAATAGATAAGGACCCCACATAGACTTCTTTATATCACTATCCCCAAGGGTATTACTAGATTCGGCTCCCGAAATCCGCATTGCTATCTTGTTTTTCATGTTTCGCATTGCTGCCGCATTTGGCTGTTGAATGAAATGCGTCAGTGTACCCTGCGCCTCGCCCCCCGCACTCCAGCAACCACACCCCCTTTTGGAATAGAGCATTTGGCGATTGAACGGACTCACTTGACTGCCGTGATTTATTGCCTGCCCGCGGCCAAGAGTCAATCGTCGTCAATCGTGTCGACAGTCTCCCCTTACTGGGAGCACGGCTCGGACTCGTACCCGTACTCGTAAATGGTAAGAAATTTCCTACTGGGCTTCCTTTTGGCCAGGCCCGGTAATTGTTATAGCAAAGAGAAAAGAGCACACAAAAGTTGGGGGGGGGGGGGGGTCACAGCGAACTGTCGGTGCTCTTACTACCCAAACACGTGACACTCTTTGCGTGACCCCTTATGCCCCTTGCCCTTTGGCAGGATTTTGGGTTATGAGCGAACACGGTATGCTCTTGGGAGTTTGTCTCTTTGGCTAGGACTGGAGAGCATTTAAACGTCATGACGACTCGTTGCTGCTCTCACTGCCTTTTGTTTGCCACTCTTTAGCACCTTTATTGCCTAGAGTATTTTAGGGTACACTTCCTTCTCAAGTAATTTCCTTTGCCTGTCTATGTAGGCTACAACTGTAGAGCATTCGGAGGTCGCTCACATTTCCAGAGCATCAAAGCCGTGTAATAGACAGGCACGCTCTCTCTCTCTCTCTCTCTATCACTCTCTTTTTGCATTTCTCCCAACAACAACCAAATTGGCAAAAGAGTAAAAATAGCAAAAACAGCAGACGGCAAACGGCAGACGGCAGCGATAAGAGACAGCAGCAGCAGCAGCAGCATTCGGCGACTATCTGGCTGCGTCCGAGGCAGAGCTGCCTCAGTCGTTCAGTTGGAAGCAACGTGCCGTCGGATTGGGAATCGGAGAATCGCAGAATCGGAGAATCGCGCAGAACAGAAATCAAAGTGCATGGGAAATACGTGCGTGATTGCAAAAACTGTCGCCGGCTGCAACTGTGAAGTGCAAAGAGAGGCAGCGAGTGGAGAGTGTATGCAAATGTGAGTGCCAGGTGCGTGATTAGATTGGAGGCGGGCGATAAGCCCGTTAAGGCGGCGCCTGTGCCGCTGTCTTTGTTTGAATTGTCTTGTGCGAAGGCGAAGAAGAAGAAGGAGCAGGATGGATGTGGACGGAGCTGGGAGAGGGAGAGGTGGAGGTGGAGCAGACTTGGCTACCACTTGAGACGCCAACTTTTTGCGTCTTTTTGCTTGGCCATATGTATCGTGTACACAAATATGTACATATGTATAACGATGTGCGATTGTTCGGTTATGGTTAGACTTTCTTGAACATTTCTTTTTGCAAATTTATTGCGCTTTATAAACATTTCGTTTCGACTAATTGGACACGTTTGCCGCACTCTCTGGTGGCAGCGGCCACCACCCGCAGAAATAAACAAACAAACTTCAAGTCCACTGCGAATTACACAATGCGGGAGAGGCACAAACAAAAAACAGCTGATTTACACCGCCCTCCCTCCCCGTGTGCCCTCCCGCAATGTTTCACACCCCTGGTTCTACACTTGTTGAAGCGTTTCGGCGAAGAGAGCGGCCTCTCTCGGGCTTTCGTTTCGGACGAGCAATGTCAAGCAAGGTGTATTGGGCGAGAGGTAAGGCAGTCGAACCTCGCAGCGACTGCCGGCAGTGGGACTCTGGCAATGCCTTACCTCACTCACACCTTGGCACACACCTTGGCAGAGACCTCCGGCATTGAGAGAGAGAGAGCGATTGAGAGAGAGCGTAAGAGAGGGCAAGTGCAGCATCAGCTGGTGCTGTGTGTGTGTCCGTCCATTGCCCTCGTTGGCCATCCCATTGCGACGTCTATTTACTTCCATTCCGTTCCGATTGTGATTCGATTTGATTTAAATAAAACATCGCGCTCCCTGTCTTTGTTTGCGGATTAATTCCGATTTGTTTTGCTTCCCATGTCGCGACTTGTTGGTTGGAATCCTCCTTTGTTTGCTCTTATCGATGCCCACGAGTACGGAGTATTTTTACTGCATATATGAGCTATTTGCGTCCGTCCGACCGCCAACGAACTACGGCTAACGGCAGGGCAATGTCATGGCACAGTGGAACACGCTCCCATATATACCCTCTAGTCTTGCCACTTTTCCCAGCCCTCGTCCCACTGTACTCGCACACGCATGCACAAAAAAAAAATAGTATTTATTATTTAATTAAATTCGTGATTTGCTGCGCTCTTTGTTGCTGTTGTTGCTATTGCCGCTTTTATTATTTTGCTTCATTTAGTGGCGGAGAGTGAGAGCGGGGAGTGCCCCATCAAATCGCATCATTTGTCGCTGAGCATCTGATGCGACCGCTTGGTTCCGACTGCGCTTGGAGTTCGTATAATACAAAGTCTCGGTGCCGGATCGGTCTGTCGGTCTCTGGGGTGAAGTGTCGCGTCGTGACGAGTCTCGATTTCAATTAAAGACTGCTGCTGGCAGCTATAACATCTTATTAAGTCTCGACTACTGGCCCATTCAGAAGATTATCCATAGACAAGCCAGCGAAAAAAAGACTGCTACCTCGGACTGACCCAGAAACTCCGGGGAAACTGGGTCAAAGTGCGGTACGAAACGGAATGAACTTGGAACGAGGAGAGCAAATAGTGCCAAAAAAAAAGCTGCGCCATCGTAAGTGAGATTCTCAGGGGAATCTCAGGTGTTGCGGAGACACTTCCGTGGGTGGAATACATGACGTTGGTCCGCCCATCATGAAAGGCATCTGCGGGGAGCAGCTCAACAACTGCATGCTGCTGGGCGACTGCGAAAACGGTGGAGATGAAGCCGCAGCAGCTGGAGTAGAAGATGGAGTTGCTGTTGGAGGAGGCGGAGGCGGAGGAGGAGGATTGGCTGCCTCAACGCGCCGCGTCCGTCTGCGGCAGGTGCAGAGCATGGCCGTGCCCACGACCAGCGCCTACGACACCCTGGAGCGGCCCTACCGCCACGACAAGGCACGCGGACGCTGGGCCAAGTCGGCGGACTTTTACTTCGCCAGCTGCACCCATGCCTTCACCCCGCTGATGTTCTCGGAACTCCCCACCTTCGGCCTCGTACACGGCGGATGGGGTAAGTGCCAACGGTCCCATTCCCGTTCTCATTATAATTTCTTATCAACAGATTTCAATTAACCAAAGCAAAGGTTATCGGGGGGACTGCGTTAATCGCTGGGGATTCTGTGCGTTTTTATTATATTATGCATAATATTAATTTGGCGAGCGATAAGCTGGAAGATTTGAAGACGACAGCAGGCAGGGTTGTCATCGAGCCAGAGAAACCACAACAATAGAAAGAGAGTAGTAGTTTCGTCAGAAACCACGACAATAGAAAGAGAGAACGATTCATCATAAACGGGGGTATAATCATCTGCCAACTGGTTACGAACAGATATAATCGGTGGCGATTGTGGGGTCATTAGTTAATGACATAATTACACTCGTTCTATACACGATTCTAGATAAGGCGAATAATGACGGAGTGCTGCGGCAGATAAATCTCTCGAGGGAGAGCATATTAATAGCACTTTTATGCGACCGCAGATCAAGGGTCTAGAGAATCCTGAAATGAATCATTATCAAGCATTATGTTTATTGAAATTTCACTCTACAGCATTTACTCCACCAATCCCTTTATCCAATTCCTCTTCTTTTCGATCTCTTTACAGTATTAATTATTATCGCCTATCTTATGGGTATTTTCTTCTACTCCCTGCCCATATTTTTGATCCAAGCATTTCTGGGACAGTTTTCCACTTCCGGATCTATTTCAGCATTTCGTGTGGCGCCCATTTTCAAAGGTACTCAGAAACCGCTTGCAAAACACTCACTTGTTCGGGTTGTAATGGGGCATACTTTCAGGCATCGGATATTCCATACTGCTCATAAATCTGGGTACACTCTCGTACTACAGCATTGGGGCAGTGGTGCCGCTCATCTACGCGGTCAACGCCTTGCACGCGGTGATTCCATGGACGCACTGCAACAATACGTGGAACAGCGACGACTGCTCCACCCATGACAACTACGATCCCGATGTGAGTGGAGTAAAGGCAAATCTTACTCTATCGTGCTTATTTTATCTGCTTTCTTTACAGAGTCTCGCTGTCGATCCACATTCCACTGTGGAGTTCTTTCGGTGGGTAGTAGAACCATTCAATTACGAGTTTAAGATTGATATCTTTCGATGATTCCAGGTCGATGATTGCCTCCACAGGCGAAGGCTCTACTGCAATGACCATCTCCTTGTCCATGCTCGTGGCTGTGGGGGCCATCTGGCTGCTGGTTCTGGCCCTCCTGCTTAAGCCTGTTGCCTTTGTGAGTGTCTTTCTTGTTACACAGCATCTTTAATCCTTTGTGGTGATATCCCTCTAGATTGGCAAGACCCTGCGTTGTGCCTGTGTCCTGATGTTTGCCTGCTTTGTGGCCGTGTTCTTCTATTTGGCCATTCACGAGGGAGTGGACCTGGGAACCTTTCACAGCTACCTGCTGCCTCCGTTCTACAACGTGCAGGATCTTTTGGGAGTTGGAAGCCGTGCCTTCGTAATGGCCGGCCTGGCCCTCGGCCCCGGCTGTGGCAGCATCATCAATCTGGCCAGCTACAACAGCTTTCGCAGCGACGCCGAGCGGATGAGCGTCTGGGTGTGCCTGACCCATGCCACCATTGGCCTCATGGCCGTGCTCTGCTGCAATGTGGCCCACGATCATTTCGAAGGTGACAGTCCCACTGGATGCCTAAGTTTCTGTGACTATATTCCTATATTCCTTCCTTGCAGATCACGTGGGCATGCTGCCGTTTCATGTGGATGAGAAGCATGATTTGCAGTACTTGTATCTCAGCTTCTCGTACCTCTTTGGCCGCTTTAGTACTGTGCCCAATCTCTGGGCTTTCCTGTTTTTTGTCGTCATCTTTCTGGCCGAGCTATCAGCATTGGTGGGTCTCTATTTCCAGCTATTTCCAGGGCCTTTTCTTAATGGTTTCGTTTCTATTGCAGGTGATCCAGCTTCTGTCTGTGGTGACATCCCTCTTCGATGAATTTGAGTGTTTGAGGCCTAGAAAGATGCCTATTATCTGTACGCTGATATTCTGCCTTGCGGCCACATCCGTGTACTTTTGTACGCAGGTGAGTGAGGGATTTCCTATAAAAGATATCACTTTTATAGCTTTATTATTGCTCTTTCAGTTGGGCTTCAGTCAGTTGAATCTGCTGCCACGAATGGCCCTGTTCTCTAATGTCCTCATTTCGGGTGTTCTCGTGCTGATGGCCACTGTGGTCTATGGCCGAGTGCGCTTCCAGTGCGATCTGCAGTTCATGCTGGGCAAAACGATCTCAAGCTTCACCATATTCTTCATACGCTTTGGCACACCAATCTTTCTCGGGCTGTGTCTGGTAGGCAATCGATGTTCCGTCTCCCGATTCCGAAGATCCTAAGATTCTTTCGTTCTTTCGTTTTAGGGTCAGCTCGTCTACTATTTGATAACCTTCAATGAAATCCATCAAGGTGTCATGTGGCTGAGCCAGGGACTGCTGTTCCTCCTGGCCATCGTTTATATGGTCTACAGGGTGACCAAAACGAACGGCAGCTTTCGGCAGCGGCTGCAACAGTGCCTGGCGCCACATGACTGGCATCCGGTGGATGCGGACAACCGACGCTTTTACGAGGAGATCATGGGCATCTCCGAGATGCTGGTGATCGATGCCAATGCCAACAACACATAGTGCCTGTATCTTAGAATACTCTTAGAATCGAATCAAAACAGCGCCTCCTCCCAAAGGGATCGCATTCGTACTTACTTAAGTCGCAGCCCCCATGACACGCGAAGGACCTCTCTGCCGCAGGTCGCGGCGCGAACTGAAACTCACTTTTATTATACACCCATACACGACATCCCTCGGAATCAAAACACGGATCAAGGGCAATTGCTGATGGCTGATTTTTGATGGAGCTGTACTGATATTTTCCAAATGCTAGCTATAGTCAACAATAAACTGGTGATATTTAGTAGTTGCCTACAAAAAACCGAAACTAAAAACTAAACTTTGCCAAAAACAAACGGAAGTTCCACGAACTTTGGCCAAAAATAATGTTTAAAACAATAAAATTTGAACACACAAATGCATTCATCTGCGGACAGTTGTAGCTTAGAAAGGGAATGAAAGTGGAGAAAGTATTTTTCCGAACGGAGTAATTCTTAGGGTTTGGCTTTCTTTTTAATTTCATTAATTTAATTTCATCATCGAAGAAAGCTCAACGCTCATTACAGCCATGAGACATCTTATGACGATGCTCTCCAGCCCCAACCTCAAGAGAGAAAAATGAGAGATGCCCTCGGATTTCATGCTGTGTGGCTTCGTGTTGATTATTCTTCGAGAGGGGTTTTCAGATGATTCAGTTCCAGAAATACAGTATTATGTTCTTTATTGAAAACAACAGATTAACATATGTACATATGTACAAATATCAGCGGTCAGTTTATTCTGAAAATTGTTTCTAGATGATACTTGTAAATGGGGTCACGCTATCGACTGGAATCCTGTGGATATGGAAAATGGAAAAAGTGTGGGGAAGCTGTGGGAAACAACGAGAAGGAAGCTGACTGCATCTGTTCGATTCAAATATTTCTGGTAATTTAGGTATCTCCCCACCCATTTTTGTAAAAATCCATTTCAGAACACAACCGCTTTGTAGATAGCACTTGTTGATACAGATTCGCCTACGCAGCGGCCCCAGCCGAGTCTTATATAACTGCGCCTACTGCTCTGTCGCGTCTCCCTTTACACGTTTACTTCCTCACTTCTACTGCTTGCTCTCCTTCTTGGTCTCTCTTTTTGCATGCTGTGTGTGGTACACAAAAAACAGAAAAAACAAACAATACTCGGGAAACGAAACATTGATACCCTTGCAGTCTCGTTTCCATGGTAGCAATACGATAAATAGTCATATTAACTAGCCAATGGCTACTAATGAAGAATATATGTACATAAGAGATTTATGAATTTAAAGATGCTTGTCAAACATTTCGCTATAACCCGAACACACACCCTGCAAGGGTATGCATCGAATAAGACAAGGCAAAAAGAAACAGAATATGCATACATATGTATGTATGTACATACTTACACACTCACACCGCACACATGATCGCAGACTGGAGGCCGCATAGCTTCACGAGATATTATTTTTTTATTTACACCGACGCGACCGATGCCGAAAATATTAGTACCCGATTATATTCCGTTGTTACTGCAGAGATTTGTCATTTCTTTCTTTTCAAATAGACACTCGCTTACACACACGTACACAACATAACGGTGTACTCGGTGTAGAGGCATCGCAAGATACGCGCCAAAATGCAAAGAGAGCGGCATATCAAGAAAAAATGCACTAAAACACTAGAAAAAAACACACACACAAAAAATAACTATGGCAAACTCTGCACAGCACTTTCACAAACAAAATAAACACTAAATTACAGTTTAACAACGATTTTAAACGAAATAAACACAGGCAGAGAGCGAGGAACCGAGCAACTGATCAAAGCCGTGATTTGGGCACACTGCGATTGCAGACCTATCGACCTATCGAAAATAAAAAGAGGTGGCTGAAGACTGCGGAGGATTTAAGCTAGCCATAAAATTATTATCAATAGATTTTAAAGGGATCCCTAACCAGCAGACCTATTAATTTAAGATATTGAAGTAAAAAAGATATCACAGATGAGAATTGGCCACACTGCAACGACCTATCGAGTGCCATTTTATCCACTACACAACACTGCCAGAAGCTTCTCAAATTTTCGTTTGAACCGCAACAATGCGTATAAATAAGAAAAACAAGAAAAATGTGGAAACCAAAGCCAACGGCGCCATCAAGAAGGCTCCGCAACCTGGCTTGGGGGATTTCCATCACCATGTGGATAACAATGATAAAGTGCATGCAGAACTACAGCTGAAAAGCCCATGCCAAGCATTAGAGCGGGAACTTGGCGTAATGTGCGAGAGCAAGACAGCAAGCAGTTCAAGGGGATGCGGCGCCAACGACAGAGAGCAGAAAATCTCCAGCGGGATGCCAAGGGCTACCCAAGTGCCACCAAAACCCTTGGGACAGTTATCGACACCTGAATTTAATGGCCACAACATCTCTAAGAAAGTACCCGAGTCGGTTGAAGCCGGTTCGGTACGGAAAATGTACGGAAACCGGAACAGAAAGAAACCAAAAGACCCATGTGATGTTTCCCAGCGGGCAACGCCTGAAATGAATTGTCACGAGGTCCCATACGTCCACAATATCTATAGCGAAATATCCGAGCTGTACCCGAAACCTTCGGGACAGAGTGTCCGATTCGTACCCCAAAGACGCGACGGCGGGTCCACTGGCAAAACGAGACGCGAAGAAGAGGACAACTTTAACGGAATAGACCAAAAGCCACTAAATACCTGGGAAAAAGCACTAGCTGCAATGTATGGGCATGGAAACTCCGACGACCACATCTACCGCGGAGTATCCGAGCTGTTTCCGGAACCTTCGACCCAGAGCCAGAGTAGCCCATTCGTACCCCTGCGAGTGGCCAACAACTACAAACAGATCAGCCGCGTGGAAGGGGAACCCTCCAAGGCTCGGATACCCTGTGTACAGGCACGCAAAGAGCCGCAAATCAAAATTATGAAGAGGCCGGAGCCAGACAAAGTTACGTTCACAATTAAGAATGAGCCGATCCGGGGACTGCCTCGCGGTAAGGTCAGAGTGCAATCCTGCCACCCGAAAGCACCGCCAGCGCGTTGCGTGCCGAAGGAACTGGAACAGGTGGATCGCATGACATCGGCAGACTTCCGGCACGACAACAACGCCCACATGCTGAACATGCGCACGCAGCTCAAAAACCAGGACCACATGCACTACTTTGCGATGGTCATCAGAGAGAATGCGCATCTGTTCAAGGGGCGCGTCATCCTCGTCCTGTCCTGCGGCGTGGGCACCTTGGCCCTGATGGCCGCCCGCATTGGGGGGGCGAAGCGTGTGTACGCCGTGGACCACTCGATGGTGACTAACTACGCGGAGCTGGTGGTGAAGCAGAATCACTTCGAGCACACCGTGAAGGTGCTGCACGGGCGCATAGCCGATCTGAAGCTGCCCGAGAAAGTGGACGGAATTGTGTGCAACTGGATGGGGCACTCGCTGCTGTGGAACTCTGAGATCCTGGAGGTGCTCGAGGCACGGGATCGCTGGCTGAAGAAGAATGGCTTCATACTGCCCGATCTGGGCGCTCTCTATCTGGTGGGAGCCGCGGAGCCAGAGCTGAAGGGCCTTTGCGACTGGTGGCGAAGCGTCTACTACTTCAAAATGAACGCCATGCGTCGGTGTGCCCTCTCCGAGCCTCGTTACGCGAAGACCCACGCCGACTGTGTCCTTACCCTTGCCCATCGCGTGCTGGCGCTCAATCTGAAGAGGGCCACCCCGGAGGATCTGCAGATAGATCGCGATATACGGCTGAAGGTCACCAAGGATGGGCACCTGGAGTGCTTCACTCTGTACTTCGATGTGGCGTTCAGCCAATGCCATCGCCAGCGCACCCTCAGCTGCAATCCCTGTCTCTCCAGCGGTTACAATTCGCTCTGGCTGCAGACGGTTCTCTTCGTCGAGAGGTCCTTTGTGCTCCGTGAGAACCTGCACTACGCAGGTCGCTTCATCTTCCGCCCCTTGGAGAGATTCGACACAAATCAGTTCGAGATTGTCATCAAGCTCTCTGAGAGCAGGCGCTTCGAGGGGGAAATGCCGGGGTTCTTTGGCAATCGTTTGGTCAGCAAGCGCTGGCTGATGATGGACCGCCACCAGACGGTGGCCGAGGTGGACAGCTGTCAGGACGAGGATAATTGAGTGTAATAGTCATATATTATATGCTTATGATCGCTTCTTCCCTTCGTCCATCGATTAATTTTCTTCTCTCTCTGCAGGGATCAATTTAGATGTAGAGTGCGCGCAGATGCGCTCCAGGCACGTGAGCTCTTGGCTGCTCAACAGCAGCAGCAACCATCATTCCATCTCCATCATCACAATAATAAGCAAAAACATTACCACTATCAGCATCAGCAGCAACGCATGACAACTCGAAAGACGCAAAGCTCCAGCTTTGCACTTGCACCGGCACCGGCACCGGTTGTACAGCACTCAACAACAAGAATAAGAATAGTATTAGTAGTAATGTATGGCAACACGGGGAGCAGGAGCTCTTCCTCATTGCCTTCGAGTGGCTCCTCGCTGCAGAGCCACAGCAACGACCACCATCAACCGCGGGCAGGACCGTCACCTGCAGATCAGTAGTATCTACCAGGTAAGTCCTTCGGCAGTAAATGGAAAGCCCAACGTGTACTTCTATTTGACTTTTCGAAAACAGCAATCGGAGATGACCAGATCCAAACACCAAACCGTCGCCCAATAAGACTAAGGAATGTGCCCGAGCAAATCTCGGCGGTCTGTGATTCAAGGCCTCCGCCACGGGTGGCATCAGCAGCGACTCGTCAACGTACACAGCCTCCGCGTTATCCACCTCTAAGCCTAAGCCAAACGCCATAACCAAGCTCCTCTCACGCATCAGATCTGGAAAGTCTCCGCCGGCTTATTTTTAAAATACCGTATATATACGTACTGTTCGTAAGTACATTGTGCTCGTGTCTTAAATCGTGATCAGCGATAAGAGCTAATCCTAATCTTTAATCAGTGATGCGAAAAAGTTGTGTTTATAAATTTGTATAAATCTATTAAAACGATTCCCGACACTGTGAAATCTATTTCGCTTTCGGGCATTTCCTTTCTGATGCTCAACGAGATCACTTCGATTATCAGAACGAAAACTATTCTCTGAATAAAAAATTATTGAATAATTAGCTTTCAATTCAACTTGTCAACAAATGATTCAAAGTTTATTTATATTCTTGTTCCAAATAGTATTCAGTGTTCAAATGCTTCTAAGAAATGTTATTCCTACTATAAGCAATTATTGATTGATGGTTATCTGAATCAGCATATCAGAAAGTGTGTAAACTGTAGAGTTTTTGTTGGATCTACAATCGGATTCGATGTTATTGCGGTTCCGTCCGTCCGCCCATTTTTCCCAAACACACAAATATCAGATCGGTTTCCATTCTACGCCATATGAAATTTTCCAAATGAACTTGGCGATGTGTGATGTCCCGCACAAGTGGCACAGTCGGGCCATAGACACAGATAAAAGAGCGTTGATAATGAAAAAATGCAAAAATAAATGTATAGTCGAGGAGGTATATACCCTAACCAAAGAACTTTAGAGTAAGCTACCCCTTACATTCTTATATACGCTTCAGCTATCATATATGTCGTTCTTCCAGCTAATCTTTGGCCAGGTTCTCCCTTTAGGTACTCATAATATGGACACAGAATCACACTTTTGTTCTGTACTGCTCTGCTAATCAGCCTCCCAGCTTTCTCCCACCTCCTACAAAAGTAGGAATACCCCGCTTGAGGGTAGCCACATCTGTCGTCCACTGGGATGAGCTCGACGGCGGCTTGCAGTCCGATTTGGATTCAGTTTGCCGGCATCGGCTCTACTAATTAGTCCGTCAATTTAAAGTAAAAACGCGCACGGATCGTTCGCAGCAAAACCAAATAAACATACATATATTATAGGACCAGCTGTTTTCAAAAATCATCTGTAATTCTTTGGTCCAGACATTGGCAAACATTAAACCAAGGCTGCCATGGTCTATGAGACATCTTATGGCACGGGCCAGAAGCCCTTCAGCCCGGACCTCGATCGTGGAAAATGGGAAAAGCCCACCGATTTCCTATTCGCCTGCTTTGGACTCGCCCTGAAGCTGGACATCTTTGTGGCCTCGTATTGGTTCTTCTTCGATATGGGAAGTGAGTAATGGGAATATTGAACTGCACTTTTAGCTAGGAATAGAATCAGAGCACTACGTATTATACATATGGTAGATAGAAGCTCCTAATCTTTTTAGGGGCGTTCCATTACCTGACCTACAGAACTCGCATATAACTGAAATGATTCATCGGATCGGTTTTCGTTGCATATTGCAACTGAGAGACGACAAGATCTTGAGTTGCCATGAGAGATCGATTGAAAGACAACAGACAAATTTTTCTCAAGATTAAATAATTTCTTTCCAGTTTGCGGCATACTTCCCTACTACATATACATGGTCATCTATTTGGTCCCGATTCTGGTGATACATTCCTTCATGGGGCAGTTTTCCAGCAGCGGCTTCATATCAGCATTTCGTGTGTCGCCGTTTTTCAAGGGTAAGCTACGGAAGAACTGCTTTTACTTTGGAGGATCTTTAATCTTTACCCTATGTTTTGTT